TGAGAAGACGTCAAAGAATGCTATGCTTTACATGCATTCCATCAACTAACTTTTCTGGAACACATTCAAACATATTCATAAGAATACGTGGGTCTTTTTTGTATAATAATGAAAACCAACCGACTTTACTACATAACATGTGTCTTTCAGTTCGTTTGTCTGTCTAGTCTGTCTGTTGTCAAGACTGCCAAATCTATTCCAAACAGTCTTAAATACTAATTTCGATTCAGGAGGGACCCTGTAACTTTCTAGAGCACACTCAAACATATTCTAACAATACTTGTGCCTTGTGTGTCATGATGAAAAAAAAGGACAAGATCTACCTTTTTGAACAAATAGATAGATTTTGCATCTGAGGCTGTGGCAATCAGCAGTAATGAAACTCAGCGCAGGCCTCAGTCCCTTTTCATCATTCACTTGCAGGCTTATGCCTAAAACAGTTTTCCCTTTCCATATGGTTTGAACCTAGGTTTGTTGTTCGGACTGATCATGAAGGGTTGAAACAAACATTTGAGGCAAATATAGGCAAATGCAAATCTGCACCGTAGTGTGGAAACTGAATGTTTTTGTTTTTTCTTCAGAGGTGGGGTAGCATTTTACTAACTTTGATTAAGCGACTCTGAGTGCTTGCAACAGGTAGTAAGCGCTCAAAGGACGTTTTACCAAAGGGGGGTAGACCAGCATTGCCAACATTGATTGCTGTTGGTTTGTCTTCAGTGTCCGTGCCAAGTGGCTTCATGAACTTGGAAGTTGGAACTTTCATTAACTTTCAATAGCAATGGCCTCCAACCTACTAGCGATGGCCTCCAACCTAATAGTGTTCAGGGTTTAGGCCATTTCAGATTGAACTGGGAGAAAACATGTAACAAAAATCATATTCATGCTCCCGTGGACGGCGCTGGACATGCTGATGCTTTAACTTTTGTGGTCGATATTGACGTGCGGTGTCGTAAACACAGACTTGGTCTTGAAGTTTGAATTCATTGAAGCTTCAATGTTTTACAATGATATGTTTCATTCTCAATGTGCCTTTTTGGGGTGTGTTGCTTTTTGGACCTCGATGAACCTGTTTGTTCATAATCTTAATAGGGTTCCCAAACTAATATAAAATGGGTGTTGCCTCGTATTAAGATTATTCAAAAAGTGTGTTACCAAATTGATGTTGTTCATCACCTATGTGACATGTGATCCAAAATTAAAGAGGTGTGCAACTTCTGAATTACGAGAGCCCATGTGTAAGGATCATTTCATTGTGCTTAGCCGAAAATGAGTTAATATAAATTGACAAAATTGATCTTAAAACGATCCATTTAATGTTGGTAGTAACGGGGGTA